TATCATACCTCTAATAAAAATGGTAATACTGGTATAAATGTACCGGTTCCTTTAGAAATATCTATTAATATTTGTAAACAGTGAAATCTCAGAGGATAATATTGTGGGGTTGGTATAACTTTTATTGTTCCAATAATAATCTGCAAACAGATTACGTATTTTCAATACCCGTTCAATAAATAAATTATAATATTAAAAATATCGATACATACTTGTACAAGAGGATATAAGAGTGAATGTAACATAGAATCACTTTTTGATAGGTTTATTAATTCTGCCCAAAATCGCAATGAATTTATATACTGCCAATTATATACAGCTTGAAAATGTTCCTATAAAAATATTAATACATAATAGTTTGCAATGAAAATATATGTATAATTGATAATACATGTAATATTTATTTTAGATAGTCTAACCTTTCTCTTCAAAGTCATAGCATTTCTTAAATGAATAGCTAATTGCCTAATATATAAGAAGGCATGGTTGTAAGCTAAATTATTATCCAGCATATATATTTCAACTAAAGAATGTCTCATAAAATTTATTCCAGGTAATGTTGTGGGTGATACAAATTTAGAATTTTCAACATATTTTACATACATTGCCTACAACATATTGATTTAAAAATATTACATAATTAGTTTACTGTATTTGAATTATATAACGAATAAGTGGCAAAATTCTTTTCTTACCTTGAGTAGCATTTCTAGAACTGATTCTCGATTACTCGTTATAATACGTAATATGCATAAAAAAGAAACAACACGAACAGATTCTTCTCCACTTGACCAAAATTTTAACAAAACCTTTAATAAAGGTTTAGTTAACGATGAAAACGGCTGTGTATATGGTAACATTTGATGCAAATGTTTTAAAAGCACCGTGAGAATATTAGATGATGTTACATTTTGTAAAATCTGTGGAAAAATGTATATAAGTTGAATAGAATCAATAATGCTCAACAATTAAATATTAATAATAAAACTTACTTTAACTAAATCTGTTAAATATAATTTCAGAATACCCTTTACTTTCTTAAATCCCTTAGCTTTATGAACTTGATATTGAGTTTCTGAATTTAATTTCAATAATCTTTTAAATGTATCCGGTAAATATAATACACATAATTGGACAACACCATTAAACACTGGAAAAAGATTTTAATGATTGAAAGATAAAGTACTTAATGAATACAAAGTTTAATCTAAACTTAAAAACTAACCTGCACCACCCTCTACTTTATATTGCAAAGATTCTGGGTCAACAGATTCAGCTACTGTTTGTAAAGCAGCATGAAAAGCCTCTACAACACATTTAATAGTTTTCAAAGAGCTGTAACATTATAAATGAACATTATTATTATCATAATATACATGTAATAAATTGTTTAAGGCTTCAATCATAATTAAAATTTAATTTCTATAATGCATAATAAAATTACTTGTCTTTTTGAAACCCTTCTTGCCATGTTTTTAATAATTGTAGGGTGACTTTTCTTTTATCCTTCGTGCTACTATCTTCATCTACTTCAAAATCACTCTCATCACTAGCAACCTAAAATGTATAAAAGAAAAAGAAAAGTATGTTCATTTTTTTAATTTTTTCTATATAAGTGATTATTTTTTTCTTATTTGTTTATGAGTATTTTATTTTCATACCTCTAAATGATCATCAGGTATATGTCTTGTATCCAATTCATTATCATTATCACTATCATTATCATCATCTGACATATTAAATTCCAAGAGGTTCTTATCATTTTCTTTTAAATATTTGTAGAATTCAGGATCTGTATTCTTTAATTTCATTAATGATTTTTTATGTTCTACTGGATCCATGTCACTGTCACTACTTCTCTCATCATCTTCATAGATACTTTGATCTATCATACAGTAAATACAACTTTACATAT